CTTACATGGTGAAAGAGAGCGATTTCTCCTCCTCCTCTCCTTCTTTCTCTCCTTTTTATTTCTCCCTCCCTCTTTTATTCTTCTCTGCCCCTTTTCTACCCTTCTTCCCCTTTTCCTTCTGTTATTCTTCCTCCTTTCACTTCTCCTTCCTCTCCCTCTCCTCCTCCACTTCCTCCTCCTTCTGCCACTAATGCCACAATGAGGGCCCCACCCTAATGACCTCATCCATCCTAATTACCTCCTCTGGGCCCCATCTCCAAATACCACACAGGAAGTTAGGACTCCAACAGTAAAATTTGGGGAGGACAAATTTAGTCATCAAGTACATACATTTATTGAGCTGATATAAGGCTACAGCAATGAACCAACCAGCCAAAACAATGAACCAACCAGCCAAAAATCGTAAAGAGCTTCCATTCATTCTCATGGAAAGATTAGGGCAGTGCAGGTGGTCAGACTAATGGCCCTCAGAGATTATGTAACTATCCCCATAACCTGTGAAATATTAGGTCATTGGGAAAGTCTTTTCTGTTTTTTAATGCAAAAATGGATCATGACTTTCCTGACTACCCAATACTTTACATAGCAAAGAGGAATTAGGTTGCAGATGGAATTAAAGCTGCCAATCAGCTGACCTTAACAGAGAGATAATCTAGGATTATCTAGATGGGCCCAACTGATCACAAGGGTCCTTACAGGTGGGAGAGGAAGGCAGAAGGGTCAGTGATGCATCTGGGAGGGGCAATTTGTCCTCTGGCCATAGAAAAGTAATTATTAGATAGTAAACAGAATAAGTAAGACATGGCATATCAGATGGCAGTACATCCCATGGAGAAATCTGGGAGTATGGAATGTGGATAGGAAATGTCAGACAAGGGTCGATTGTCATTTTAAATAGGGCAAAGGGAGAGGATTCTAGTGAGTTCTGAGTTAAAAGCCAAAGAAGTGAGGCAGGGAGTCATGAAGTCTCTGAGCTCTGGGGTTGGGGAAGACTCTTCCTGCCAGAGGGCACAAGTTTCAAGGGTATGCAGTAGTGAAATGGGAACAAATTTGAGTAGATTTCCAAAATATCACTTATTTTCCTGTTGAACTATAACCACCTTTTGCTCACACAAAATACCGTAATTGTTCTGATAAGAAATACCAGGACCAGCAGATGGTGTAATGGTCACGTTCCTGGATGCCCGCATAGTTGACCGCATTTCAAGTCCTGGACTTGGTGCCTTAAACTCACATCAGGTGCATGTGCATACATTCCCAAAATCCTGAGAGGAGAATGGGAGAATGGAGGAGAAGGGATTTCGGTGTGGCTACCCCACCTAGGGGGGTAATTTGTCACTTTCTCTTTCTGGTGAGTGCATGTGCCCTATAGCAAAAAATCCCTGAGAAAAACAAAACAAGAACTGACTGTTTGTCACATAGCTCAGAACAGTGTCACAGGATTGTTTACTCCTGATGCTTTTTTTTTTTTTCTTTTCTTTAATGACCGTTGTATGAAAGACATAATACTAACTTGGTTGTGTAAGTTTGCCTACAGGGCACATGTGCTGGAGAGGGCTGAGTGACCTAAGCTCTCTCCAGCTGCAAGGAGGAAACCAGTGGAGCTGCTGTAGTACTGAACCAGTTTCAATTCTTTTTTCAGTATAGGACCTGACTGAAGACTTGGGAGGAAAACATTCCTGTACAAAAGACTGTATCTTTTTTATGTTAAGGAAGGTGGATTTGACAATTACCTTCTGTTGGAATTTTTCAATAGAACCTTTCTTTTTCTCCTCCACAAGCCTGGTGTTTCTGTGTTCTGGCTTACTGTGTATCCAGCAACAAACTGGCTTACGTTCAGTAACAGTAGAAATTTCTCTGGCATTTCTGGGGAGCCAAGGAGGGCATGGTGGATGGAGATGCATTTATGATAGGAAAGGTAGTACTAGATGAGGGCAGAAATAAAGGGGTGCCAATTTGTGCTGGCTTTATGCTGAGCACACAGGAAGCCAAAGGAGGATTTCAAGTAGCAGAGTGACAGGATATGACGTGCATTTAAGAGAATTACAATGGGTGTTATATTGACAGTAGACGATGGTGGGTGGTGGGAGTGGCAGAGTGGAGGCAGGGGATAAGTTAGGAGGTAATCCAGGCTATCGGTGTTGGTCGGTGGTTTAGGCCAGGTGGTAACTATGGGAGTAACTATAGAAAGAGATCTGCTTTTGGGTATCGTTTGAAGGCAAGATGATTTGCTGAGAGATCAGAGGTAGAATAGAAGAGGAGAAAAGTCAAAGATGATGCCACAGATTGGGGTCTGAGCACCTAAAAGGCTGAAGAGGCCAGTCACTGAGACAGGGAAGACTACAGCAGAAACAAGTTGGACAGAAAGGACTGGTTCATTTTAGGTGAATTTTTGATACTTGAATCCTTTTCTTTCTTCATTCTTTCCCTTTGGATTGCTTTCTCAAAGAGGTAGAGAAGCAGTCACATGAAAATACTAGCCAGTGAGCAGCAGTATCTTGCTCCATTTGCTGTTGAGTCAGAACTGCTACCTAACTCCACATAGGACTTCTATAAGCTGGACTGGAGAGTGAGTTGTCAATGAGGACCAAGGAGGGCTTGAACGTCAGCCTCTCCAGTAACTCTGTCACAGGCAGAGAAGATGGATCAAAGAGTAAATAATCCTACTCGTGGTGAAAGTAGTCTAGGAAATATTTAAGGCTCCCTTCCAATCACCAGATTTACCATTCCTCCATAGAGAAGGAGCTACTAAGGGGGGGTAGAAGTAGGATGAAAGTTCTCTATTCCCTAGGGACAAGGCTGAAGCCCAGAGAGGCCGAGACCGATTCATTAGTGTAGGTTAAAATTGAGTGCAATCTGTTTTAGTCCATTTTTCTGTCACTAACAACTGAATACCATGCTGGATAACTTACAAAGAATAGAAATTTATCTAGCTCATAATATTGACAGTCAAGGGCCTGCGTCTGAAGAGGGTCTTCTCATTGGTGGGCACTCCTGCAAAATCCCAAGGCAGTGTGGGACATCATATCACAAGACAGAACAAGAGCAGAGAGTGCCTTCGATTTCATTTCCTCTCCTTCTCACCAAAATTCAATCTTGGGGCACCACCCTCATGGCCTTATGTAACCCTGATCTCCTTTCAAAGGCCCACCTTCCAATATCATTGTCAGATTCAATTTTCATTCTCTTTATCCTGTCACAACTGTATTTCAACACTGAATTTTGGGAGTACACGTTCCATCCATAGCACACTTTTAGCCCTGCCAGTGACTTGCTCGGTTGCACCCTGAGAGTGAGCACTACCTCTGTAGAAGTTGGGTCACAATGTTCTGAGACAAGAAACCTTGTTTTTCCTCTTCCTGACAGAAATAAAAGAAAATTACATAATGAGAATTTTTAGGTAGGCAATAGTTCTCTCTCATTTAAGAACTAGTGAATAAGAGAGAACTAGTAAAAGTAAACTTGTAACGCTTATGTCCTAATTGTGCCAGTTGATGAGGCCAAAGGCCAAAGAAGCTTTAAATGCAGTGACTGGATTTTTTTTTTACTTTTTTTTTTTTTTTTTGAGGGGGTTTTTTTTTTTTTTTTTCCATCAGG